AGATTACCCCTGAGTGCACAGTGTGATTATGGCTTGCCTTTCATGCCCACAACTCAAAATTGGCCTGCTCCCGAGCCCACATCATTAGTCTAGCTTGCCCACTAGGCCCATATCTTATGTCTGGCTTGCTCTCGGGTTTGTTGGCTACCGCACGAAGCAGTACTACCTCAACCCAACCATACTATGTTGACACACACACACACACACACACACACACATATATATATATATATATATATATATATATATAACAGGTAAACATATAACAACATACAGATCTTAACAAATCACTACATCATAGCAACATCCTAGCCATGATACATAATCTACCGGGTCGTCATTGGTGTCTTCAACCCACAAGTGTAGTAATGAAAAACTCGCCTCTCAGTCCGAATACAGTCTGAATGAATCTTTGCTTCGACAATCGGTTCCACCCGATTCCTAATAATCAAAACATTTCACAATCTAAATTAATATCAATTTCCCAAAATAGCCTTGGTCAAAATCAATGAAATCAACTGAGTCAACTCAGTTGAGTCAAATCAAACGAGTCAACTCAGTCCTCATACGTTGGGCGTACTTCGGATGTACGCGGTACGTACTTGCTATCCGAGGAGTCAGGGACTGAGCTGTGTACGCGCAGCGTACCAAATGGTACGCCCAACGTATGCAGCTGAAATTCTTCTTAACGAGTTAAGAGCTTAATACTTAAGCTATTATAACCAAATTGTAGATCCAAGTCCCAAATATCATCCTTGACCATAAAGTTTCCAACTTTATGGTCTTGCATGGCCAATAAGCGCTAAATGCTAAAAACTCCATCCTCTTAACCCATTAAGACAATCAAACACATGCATGGAAAGGGATTAAGAGCCAAGGCCCTATTTTTATGCGTCTAAACCCCTCAAAACATCTGAAAGGACAGCTAGAATGGACTAGAGCATGTCATACTCCAAAAAGGTCAAGACTTGGGACAAAATGCTCATGAATCAAGGACTTAGCAAGATCTAATGAAATACAAGCCAAGTTTGAAACTTTATACCTCTTAGAGGTTGTTAGAGAGGTGAAGATCCTATATCCAAAGCTCCTTCAAGCTTCCAAAGTGGTTCTACTTCCTTCTTTCTCCTCTAAGACCACCAAAAACACACACAAAGGTCAAGAGTGCTCAAACAAGTGGCTAGGGTTTGCTAAAATTGAATGGAGCTGTTGGAGGCTGATGAGAGATGAGGTTGGAGGCCATAAAGATGTTTAAATATGGTCCAAACCCTAAATTATAGGTTTTGTAACCTTCGCACGTAAGCCATGCATATGCAATGTACGCCCAACGTGCTAGACCTGCACATGTGCGTCCAACGTACGCCTAACGTACTAACCTTCTACCTGAAATTACAAAAATGCCACTATGATCCATTTTGCAAGATTTCTCATACACAAGGGCTAAATACCATAAGCATTCACACTTAAGGGTTAAATTTGGAAATACCTCATCGTCGGGATGTTACACCATTTTTTGTTATTCTATTATTTAGCGCAAGTTAAGTATTTTGATCTTTAAGAATTAATAATAATAGTTTTGTGTTGGATTAATAAATAAAAGGAACCATAATAATGCATGTTATGATCAAATAAACCTTAGGGACTAAAATGGCCACTTAAAAACTTAAGTTGTAAGATTAAGGTAGCAAGGGACCAAATATGTCAAAGTTGGAAAAATATATATGGGTCATGCATTTCTCTTGCTGCATACACGATCATGCATAGTGGCGAAAATAGAATATGTATAAAAATTGAAAAACAGATGGGGGGGGGAGGGGGCAAAGTCAAATTTTATAGTTTTAGGCATAATATGTAACTTTTTAAATAGTTATGGACTAATTGTTAAAAAAAATAAGGGGCCCACAGCCCCCTGGCCATATATAAGCTCCGCCCATGATCATGCAGCCCAAAAATAAATAAATAAAAAGATGGTCCTTCCCTTACACCCTGTTCTCGAGTTCAACTTAACGAGAGAAAGGAAAGGAAATGGATGAAAATGAGAAGAAAATAAAATAAATTGACGTTCCCGAGTTTCATTAAAGGAGGAAGTGGAGGGAAATGAGAGGATCACTTTCCCTCCTAACTTTCCTTCCGATTTGGGAGGATTTGAAAAGAAAGAACAAAATGATTCATTTTCCTTCCGCTTCTCTCCAACTCAGGAACACAAAAGAAAATTTTATTTTCCTTTTCTTTCTCTTATTTTCTCTCATGACTTTATTTTCTTTTCTCTTATCTTCTTTTCTTTTGTTAGACTCGGAAACGAGGCGTTAACCCCTTAGTTTTGCGTCATACGCAGTCCTACTTTGCGTGTTTTGCTTTGTCCACAAGAAAAGAGATCGAAGGAGAGAATAAGAGCGGGATTGGATCATTCGGAAGGAAAGCAGGTTTCAAGCTTTATTCTAGCTATGCATAAAGCGATTTCCAGCCAAGAAAATTAGAAGTATAAAGGGTTACATGAATGAGAAAGAGAGGTAAAGCCTGGACTTCGAGAACATAATCTACATGTCATAAAACGGGACAAATGATGGATATAGATATGCGTTTTTCAAAATCTCCCTAGCATATTTCGTACTTCATAAGTAACGCTACATTTTGGGAGTTTTGGAGGAAACAAGGTGGAGAAAATATTGAAAGAGATGATGAGAGAGACAACATATCCAGAGAGATGTTGGGCAAGAAAAAAAGAAAAAGCAAAAGACAAAAGGATTGTTTTGATGCGAGGTTTTCTCATGGAATCTATAATTCCGCACATCCTAGATATGAACTTTTCTCCTTTGTATTTTTACAAAAATGTAGTCATATGTGTTGCGTCTCTATGTCTTAATGGGCTAAGCTAAACCCGTGACAAAGTTATGACTTTATGTCATTAAACTCTTGAATTACTATATACAAAGAAAGATTACAAATAGTTGTAAATGATGGAAATTTGAACCAAAATACACTTACTAAGGGGTAAGTGGGATCACATAAGTTTCATGGTTTTGTTGTATATAGGGCGTTGTAGGTTGTGTTTATGTATAATTTACAAAGTTTGCTTTTAACTGAGATTCTCTACTTCCTGCCTATTGGATTTTCTTCTATTAAATGATGATTTTGCCCCTAGACATCGTCTTCGCTGTTATGGGACATTTCAAAATGAAATGTTGTCAAAGAAATTTATACGGACCGGTAGATGTTTGGATTGATATATCATTTTTACTCTTTTAATTGTTCCTTAATAGTAAGTGACTTTTGTTATAAAGCTAAGTTATTAACTATGAAATCAAATTTATAATATTAATAATATCAATATAGTTTTAACATAGTTTTATGTTAAGATATAATTTAAAACACAGTTCAACCTTAAAAAGATTTATGATGTCAAAAAGTTTAAAAAATAAATATACCTTACAATAAAATAAATTCTATACTTTAACCTTTTAAAATTAATCGTAGTTCTTTGTTGCTAGATTATGATTAAATTAACCATATTCATATCATATTAACGTTTGTATTTTGGAAATTCTAAATAATTATTTGTTAGATTATTGTTTGATTTGATTGAAACCCAACCCAAAATGACAATATATATTTTTTTACCGATAAAACTAACTTATTTATATATTTAACAAAAAATAGTATGACAATATATATTTTTTGGTTGATAAAACTAACTTATTGATATATTTAACAAAAAAAAAAAATAATAACATGTTTATATTAAATTCAAAAAGTGATATTGTATATATTAATTTTAATTAACTATTATAAACTTGCTTACAAAACATCACATGGACAAAACATTTATCTTTACATATTAATAAATATTTTGCAAATATTTGATTAGTCACTACCATTTAGAATTATGTTGTCTTATTTAGAGTTCAAAGTAAAAAATGATTAAAATTGTTAATTTAAATAATGATGGTAACATTGCAAACAAAACTTCTAATGTTGTGTGTAAGGAAATTTTTAAAAATTTATAAACAATTTGTAGTTTTAAATTAGTAATTTATTATGTTATGTTTATTTATTTTTATTACATTCCTTTTATATTTATTTTTTCGTATATTAATGTTATTTCTATAATTGATTGTGTTTTTTTACACTCTAATCAAATTTATATTATGTTCAATAAATCGTAATTATATTAAATATCTTCACATAAATAATGTATATCAAATATTCAAATAAAAAAATATATATTAATTTAAAATAATCAATATAAAAGTATAAATAAAACTTATATTTTATTAATTTAATAAAAAATTATAAATCTTTTACTCTTGGATTCTAAGGATTGTAACATAATGTATAATATTTTAAATACTTATAAAAGATACATTTTTTTTACTTGCACCACATGCATTTGAAATCTTCATAACTTTTCAATTTCTTTCTAATGATTATTATAAATTGATTAATAATGTTAGACTAATACAAAAAACTAAATTTTGATAATAAATTAACTAAACTATAATATTAAAATATCATATTTTATTTCTATTTATAAAATTATAATTTTAAAATTTTAACGTATTATAGTTAACTTATTATTTTAGATTTGTTATCGTATGTGCACAATTGTCAATTTAAAGTCACAGCACTACAAATAAAACGACGTTTAGTGGCACAGAAAAAGTGTCACTAAGAATCGGAAAAGTGCCACTAAAGACCCCGTTGGCAATCAGTGGTACAAAAAAAGTGCCACTAAAAACGCTGTCATAAAAGGCTTTTAGTGACACTTTTTGTTTGTGTCACTAAGTTCTTTTGGGTTTTAATGGCACTTTTTTATGCCACTACAACTCTTTCTGTTTTTGTGACAATTTTTTTATGCCACTTAATAACATTTTTTGGCAATTTTTTACCCCAAACATTTATATTTGAAAATTAGGTCGATTTTTTATGAATTTAAATGGAATACAAGATAATAAAAAATAATTAAGATAATAAATGGAAAACACAAGATCATTCCTCAAAACGTAACCTGTCTTACAAAAATATTCTCCCTATTTAAAACAAAAATATATTACACAAGATTTAATAATTCGAAACATTGTCCCAATAATCATTCAAAACATAAAACTAGAAAACTAAATACTTTTCGGGAATAAACAATAAAAGATGTTAACTCTTTATCATCCTCTTGGTTCTCCATGATATACTCTTCGTCAATGGTTTACCCTGGTACATCTGCAAATGGTAACATACAAACTAGTATATGTTAATGAATGATTCGCATTCCAAATTATTACATCTGTCACTTTCTCTATAAATAACCAACATAATCAAAAAATTAACCAATATTTTCACTTGGGATCTTTTATTTTTTCTCGAAGACTAGATAAAAGCAACACCACCATTATGATTGTCTTCCTCTTTTAGTTGGAATTAATATTTAGGGATCGATGAAACTATTAGAAAAGCTATAACAAGTTAATAATGTTTGAAACCTTGAACTAACATGAACTTTATTATTTAAAAGAACCTTTAATATTGATAAAAAAAAATACACATTAAAACCCAAATTGGACCTTTAAAAGTTGTTTATTACCATGAAAATTTGCTTACTTGTCAAGTTAGAGACATCCATTCTTACTTAAAGATCTTGGCTTTCATCTTCTGTCACAACAAGCATCCACTTACATGAGAAATTAAAAACAAAAACAAGTTGTTTTCACAGTTTTTGAGTTTATATTTGCTATGAATGAGCAAGCAACAACATATCCACATTTTAATAAGTCTTTAACCCATGAAATGATAGAATTATCCCCTGACTTCCTTTTGGTCAACGAGGTCCAAAGTTAAATGACCTTGAGGAAAAATGAGTCAATGTACAGTAAAGAAGTGAGGAAAAGACGAAGGAGGACAACTTTCCATGGTTTTATACATAAACTTACATTTTAACACATCATTTACAATATGCAAATCATGAGAAATATGTAAATAGATTTAAAAAAAGGAAAAGAAAAATAAGTTTTTATTCATACTTATGGTGCACCTGTTTCACACATAAAATGACCATCTGCCAGTAGTATGATCTATCTGTTATTAATTTTCAACTCCTGCATGAGCAACAAGAAATAAAACAAGAAAAAGACCCAAACAAATCCTAGATTGATATTGATGAGGTAGTCCATTAAACACCCATCGCATCAATAAATAAAGAGTAATTATGCCAAAAAAAAAAAACAAATTGTGTAATTCTTGGTAATCTTTTACTCCTAAGAAAATTAATTCCCAATTTTATGGTTCCATAAAAAAAAGAGAGAGCAATACCACGGTTAGATTTACGGTAGAGAAAGGAAGCATATATAACTAAGTTTTGAGATCGATTTGATAAAGGTGAAAGGAAGTCACTGATTTGCTAGAGGGAGACAGTGGTGGTCGGGATGGTTGGAGAACAACGGTGGTCGAAGAAGGATAGTTTGAAGAAATAGAAAGAGAAAAGATGTAGGTTATGAGGGAAAAGGAGATGAAGTAACGAGCTAATTTGTACCTGTGTTGATAAAAGCCTCTATATGCTCCGCATTCCTCGTATTGATCAAAATTATACCTAAACTAGAAATACAATTCATCAACAAGCCAAATATCAAACTTAAATTCATAGAACTACAACGAAATTCATAATAGAAAACCTAATTGTACATAACACTTACCGATACAATCATTCACATTAATAAGCTTTCGATTCGACAATTGGCTGGGGGCGGTGATTAGAGGCCGAAATAAAGAACGATTGGGATAGTACTACGAGAGAAAATTATATTCGGGATAAAGAGATTTTGGTAAGTTAGGGTTTTTCTAATAATAAAATGATTCCCAAAAACAAAGGCGGACAATATTGGCGCAACACAAAAATTAGGAGCGGCAACATGATTTTTCACCATAAGATGGCACAAAAAGATAAAGTACCACTAAAAACATAATTTAGTGGCACAAAACATGATATGCCACTAAAAGTTTGTGCCACTAAATGTAAATTTATTTGTAGTGTGTAGCTTTTGTATAATTTATTATTTTATGCAAAATAGTTAAATTATTAATTTTAACATAGTTTTAAACGGTTAACTTAAATCAAAATTTCAGTTAAACTTAAAAAAAAATCGAGAGACTATTTTATAAATAGTTAGAAGTTAAATTATAGTGTTCAACCTAAATTGTAATTTTAAATTAACAAAAAAAGAACATAAAACTATTTTTTAGAATCATTGAGATTTTTCATAAGTAGCTTAAAAATAATTTACTATAAAAATAGTTAAAACTAATATTATATAAAAAAATTATAATGTTATCTTTAAAAACAAAAACAATGTTTGTTGTTTTAAATAATAACAATCAAAGAAAATAACAATATTCATCAAATAAATTTTAAAAAAGTTAAATTTCTGAAACCAAATTAAAATAATTAAGATATGTTATTCTATAAAATAAATTTCCGATGTCATCTGAAACATGTCCCTCTCTCCATTGATGGACCTGAAAACCTCATAAGCCTCTCCTTCTTCATTGCCAGATCTGAATCCAGTATTGGAACAGATCTCGACGGATGATCGAATGCGTTTTTTCCCAAATGGGTCCTCCCCAAGAACTGTTTTTTTAAAGATATGCAAGAGAGATCTTATGGGAACGATCTAGTAGAGGAGTACGAGCAACGATTAGAAGAAGTAAATAAATATTACTCCCAAGAAAACGAAACTAAAAAATTTGAGCTTTGCTAGATACAAATAATGTCATCTGAATCTATGATTTCTCTTAATAATTCCATCTCAATCTATGAACTTTGCAAGAAAACGAAACTAAAAGATCTATGATTTTCTTAATCCCAATAAAACCATACTAAAACGTGATCATGGCACAAGGTAGATGGGATCCATACTAGAACACCGGATTTAGCGATGAGACTCTATAGTTCAATGATAGGGAAAGATTAATTGCGTTTGGCAAATTTTGTGTTCTTCGATGGTGACCTAACAGCGTTGATGTTTCATAATGGATCCATCGAGAGAGACCCACTGAGAAATGAAGAAGATTGTTATCTAGTATGTGATGCCAGGATTGAGAAGAGTTTTTTATGGTTCTCCATTAGGATTAAACTCATATTTCCATGGAGGGTTTAAGGATTATCGAAGGAAAAATGGGGGTAAGATTGGGTTAATGGCATCTAGGAGAGAGAGAGAGAGAGAGAGAGAGAGAGAGAGATTTTATTAATTGTTTTTCCAAAAAAATAAGATAAAGCATCATAAATGGTCCCTATGGTAGTGAAATGACAAAAATACCCTTCAGTTAACGGACAAACTTAATGGAATTAGCCATAAGGACCAATCGTCAAAAGTTTTGAAAACATAGCGACCATCTATGAGGTTTTTAAACCATGGGGATTAAATTTCAGAGTTTGAGAAACCACAGGGACCATTTATGATGTTTTTCATAAAACTATTTTTTATAATCATTGAGATTTTTCATAAGTAGCTAAAAAATAATTTACAATAAAAATAGTTAAAACTAATATTATATAAAAAAATTATAATGTTATCCTTAAAAACAAAAACAATGTTTGTTGTTTTAAATAATAACAATCAAAGAAAATAACAATATTCATCAAATAAATTTTAAAAAAGTTAAATTTCTAAAACCAAATTAAAATAATTAAGATATGTTATTTTATATAACTTACAACAAGAATAGTTAAAAGTAACATTATATACAAAAATTATATTATTATCTTTAAAAACAAAAACAATGTTTGATGTTTTAAATAATTATAATTACATAAATTAAAATATTAAACAAATAAACTTTTTTAAAATTAAACAACTATAAATATCATTAAACCATATATTATATTTAATTTTATTTATGAGTAACACGTAGGTAGAGGTCATTGAGACAATTAGAATTATAGAATTTTTAAAAGATATCTACATATATTATCAAATAATTCAAAACTAACAATGTTTATACAAACTTATTATAAAATTTAGAATAAACCGCACAAATGGTCCCTGTGATTTGCTTAAAATTGACATTTTGATCCAAAAAAGTTTGAACTAGCACTAGAGGTCAAAAGTTTTCATTTTGTTGTTTGTTTGGTCCAATCTATTATGATTTTTCTCAAAATGATGGATTTGCCCCTATTAATATTAGTTTATCCTTTTTTTAATTGATTTTTCTTATTTTCATATTTTAAAAAAATAAAAAGTAAAAGTAAATACATATAAATCTCTCTCTTTTTCTTTCTCTCTCTCTCTCTCTCTCTCCACTATTTCTCCTTCCTTCTCTCATTTGCTCTTCCTGGTTCTCAAGAAACCCCTCGTCGTCGACTCCACCACCGTTATCGCCATCAACCACCACCGCCTTTATCCCCTATCGTCTCCACCACCCACCATCCATCTGTAAACCCTTACTCCGATCTCGTCGCCATCTTCTATTTCTGTAAAAATTCATTTTTCCGGCGATCTAAAAAACTCCGTTGCAACTCGACGAAGCTCCAGATCTGTAAAACATCGTTCTTCCGGTGAGCCTCGTCTATCTCCATCTTTCTCAACTTTCTTCATTATCAAACCCTAGCAATTTAGTGACGATGTTCCAGAGAAGACGAAGGGCGGCGACGAGTTAGTGTTTTCAGAAAACCCTAATCGGTTATTTTTGTTTCAGCGCCATTATCATCCATCGAAACCCCTAGCTTTGTTATCTTCATCACCAAAACCTACTGTTGGTATGTGTTGAACGACCCCCTTACCTTTGTCTTTCCAGATCCGATGAGAAAAAAGAGAAATAGGATGACGAACAGATCTGCTGGTTAATTTCTTTTTCATATTTTTTTGGCAGATCTGGCCTTGTTGGTGGTTTGGATGTCATTATGTGTTGATTACAATCAATGGTATTTTAATGGTGGTGTGATGATCTGATGGAGAAAATGATGGGTTATATGGTCAGTGGTAGCTAATGGTGGGTAGTGTCAGCTGTGATAGATAAATTAGGTTTTTGGGTTGTGTCTGGTGGTAGTATAAGGTGGAATGGTGGTCACGGTGCTAGGAATGGAGACGGAGAAGGGTGATGTTGGGTGTTAATAGATGATGAAAGGTTCAGGTGAGGTTGAAGTTGAAGGTTGGTGAGGGTGGTGAATGGTGAGAGAGAGAGAGAGAGAGAGAGAGAGAGATTTATTTTTATTTTTTATTTTTTTAAATCTAAAAATCAGAAAAACAAATAAGAAAAAAGAGAAAATCATATTAACAGGGGCAAATCCGTTATTTTGAGAAAAATCATAATTGATTGGACCAAACAAGCAATAAAATGAAAATTTTGGACTTCTGGTGCTAGTCCAAACCTTTTTGGATCAAAGTGATAATTTTCAGTAAATCATAGGGACCCTTTGTGCAGTTTAATCTAAAATTTATTATATAATAGCAAACAACGTTATTAATATATTTAAAAATATATATATTTATAAAGATTTCAAGTATATTATTATATTATGTACGATTGCGCAGATATTGGTTTAGTTTAAAATAATCGTATGCGTCCATTGTCATTAATCTCAAAAGTTTTTTACAAATACATCTTAAACACCTCCGATAACTTTAATACGGAATAAAAAAACGATATTCAAATAATCCTTATCTTAAACAATATGACAAATATTATTATATGTTAAATCAAAGTGGAAAACACCCCTGATATTTATAATATATTTTAACTTTGAAACTCATGTCATTTATTTGAACACGTGTTGTTAGTAATTTTTCTAAATAAAACCTCCTTTTTATTTATAATTTTTTAAACAAAATATCCTTATTATTTATTCATTTTCATAAATTTCTTTTTATGAACATTTTATCATTATTTGTTAGTTCGGAATGATTATTGTGTAGACGACTGTTGCTTCCGCTACTATAATCGTTTTGTGGTATAAGTAGGTCTAGTATCATATCATTATTTCTTGGTTTGGATTATTGAGTCCATTTAGTATAACTTTTACAAATAAATATATTATTTTTATGATTTTGTGAAAATTTTACATATAATGAATATTTTTATATTATATAAGATTAATAAATCGATGTCTTACGTTTTCTTTTTAAACTTACGCATACCTTATATAAATAATAATAATAAATAAATAAATAATCCAGAAGTAGTTCAAAAAGTGCAAAACATCTCAATATCCAAACAACTACCCCATTTTGGGAAACCTCCAAAGAATCAAACAATCCGTTGATACATATTCCTTTTTGACCTTTTTTGTCCACACAGGTCATCTACCCTATGTGTACCCCAACACAGCCCTGCACGTGTCCCACACCACCAGATATTTTCATCCACGTGGTAGCCCACAGCCTCCTAGACTGCCACGTTACCCCCTTAAAAAGATATTTCGAGCAACCAACTTTTAACATCCTCCTGGACGCGTGGCTGGCAGTCACTTGATAACCTACTTTCTTTCCTTTTAAGCACCAATTAATACCTCCACGTGTCCATTTTCCACAAATTGAAACCGCCCACGATCATGATTCCAGCAGCAATATCCAATAGAAAAGTAATCATCCAATAATCACCTGACACATTCGGACTAGTATTCTAGTCTCTAGAAATAGTATTGTGCAACTATATATAAGCGTGTAATACCCTTTTTTTCGCCGGAGATCCGAAGAAAATGAGTGCGAACCAGAGAGTGAGGCTGAGCACGTCCATTAGCGGTGGTTCCGGTTCACACGAATCGGATTTTTTTAACGAGAGAGTGCTTTTGTTAGTTATGGAATCGATGAAATGGGACGTTCAGGTGCTTTGCCGGACGGCGTCAGTGTGCCGGAGACTCCGCGCCATGGCGAAGCGGTTGTTATGGCGGGAGCTCTGTTTGTTCCGTGCGCCGAGGATAACAGAGACACTATCGAACGGTGTTCACAGTAGCCGGATGGGCGGCGGTTGGCCGGCGTTAGCTAAGCTGCTGTTTTTTTGCGGCGATTGCGAGTCTAGTCGGAATTTTGTGTTGAGCCGGCCAAAACCGGGGCACTTTGTTACAGAGACCCGGTTCTCGAAGACGTCCGGTCGGAGCTTCTTGATGAAACGGTGTCGTGGGGACTTGTTGTTTGTGAGCGACCCCTGTGAACACCGGGTTGGTGATCGAGAAGACGACTTAGGTGTTTTCCGAGGGGTATTCCGGGGATTTCGCGAGTCGAGGACACGTGCTTGTTTGATAGCCAGACAGGCGGCGTTAGAGGAGCGGGAGAGGTGCCCTTATTGTGGGGCCCGTGTTTGGAGTATGACCACTGCCGGCTTAGTTCCTAGAAATGCGGCTAAGCGGCTCGGCTCACACGACGGCACACTGGAGTATTTTGTGTGTGTGAACGGACACCTTCATGGCACGTGCTGGTTAGCACCGTTGTCATCAGATGAAGGAGTGAACGGTGAGGATGAAGAAGAGTATGCAATGGACGGTAGTGATGGGACCGGAAATAGCTCAGGTGGGGTCACGGATGGATATTATTATGATGATCCAACGGTCAACACAAATGGTTTCGGAGATGATGGTTTTATTTGATGGCATGTGTTGACTTGGTCAACGCTATCATTTCATCGTCGATCTTTTATGTGCAGCTCTCCAGAGCTGAACTTTTCTGTTCCAGATCGATCTATGACTTTACAGCATATGATGTAAAGTGACTTTTGGATCGTTGCTATGATTTAGCAACAATTTCCCCTGGAAGAGGAAATCCAACAAAATTTTGATCGGCGAGTCCAATTATCGTTAGGTTTATTCGTATTGTATTATTTGGTTGTAGTACCAATTTTGGTAGAAAGTTGTAATTTGGGTTGTGTTATTATGAGGTTGAGACCAGGGAATGTGATGCACCCAATTGCTTTAGTTTTTCTACTTTTTGTATCATTCCACTTTTCCTTATTTTATGGTTCCGTTGGTTTCATGTGGTGTACCGTGTACGTCTTTGAATTATCACACTGAAAAAATAAAGTTGTCGTATTCCAGAATTTGTTCGTTCATACTTCATAGCATACATGTACTGATTACACGTTAAGCATGTAAAATCTACAAATAAAAGTTTCGAAGTTCAAATTTAAAAATGATTGTTTTTTACGAAACAATTAATTATAAAAAATATTATCATAATTAAATATGAATGATATTAATTATGAAGAATATTTTCTATAATTAAATTTCACATTTAACTATGCTAATATTCCTTATAATTAAAACACATATTAGAAAATCCATTATGAAAATATCACACCATCATTTTGGGTGTGTTTGACAAAAATAATTGTTAGGTGGAAGCGGATAGCGTTTATGTGTTATATGTATGTTTGGTAAAAATAGCTGGAAGCTTTTGAAATATATAAAATTACATAAAAGGATAATTGATTAAAAAGAAATAAATATATAAATACTACAATTTTAAAGGTAATGATGGAAAGTGATTTTAAAAACTCAGGAGTGTGTTGTTAAACGCTATATAAAATAACTTTTAGAATCGGAGCGTTTTGTTAAAACTAAAAGTAAACGCTCCTACTGACAAATGAAGTTTTTTGTTTAAAATAGACCGTTTTTTTGTTTAAAATAGACCGTTTTATCAAAAGTTAAAAATTAAAAAGTACCAAACGTTTTCAAAAGCTTTATGCCAAACACGTTCAAAAATAACGTTTCATCCCTAAAGTAATGTTATTATAAAATTTAAATATATTATAGAAATCTATCATAACAAAAACCAAAAGTTAATATTTGCCATTAAAGACATGAAGTGACATGCTAAAGGAATATAATGCATTCTCAACGACTAAGATTTATTAGAGAATAAATTTTATGTACATGTGGTTTGACGAATATTGCAATTTTGTTATTGTTGCACTGTGAATTCGATTTCTGTCAATAACCTTGAAGTTAAAATTTTCTTTATGCTTTGTCTTTTCTTTATTTTTGTCTTTTATATATATATATATATATATATATATATATATATATATATATATATATATATATATATATATATATATATATATATATATATATATATATATACACTTAGATTATTTTGTTTTTACTAACTGTTGTGTGTCAAAATGCACAAATCAGGACCACCGGATAGAATAGAATCAAATGTCATGATCTGAGAGTCTATGATACTACAATAGGGTAATATGTACCATATAATCACACAAATTTCAGCATAAGGGTATTTTAATCAATTAACATATATTAAAAAAAATTCAGATTTTTAGGAATAATTAATTACATTATTTTTATAAATCTGAAGATTTTAAATTAATTTAAATTTAAAAATCCGATTTTAGGTGTCAACCATAAACTAGTAAATATGTTTTCGATTTTATTCTTGCAAAATATATTTCCAATGCATATATTTTTGATAATTAACCTGATTTAAGAATTCTAGATATTATTTATATACATTTAGGTTGGGTCTATGATTTTATTCTTAATACACATCTGAAATAACATACAAATTCACACATATTCTTACGTACTAATATCTTTATATATTTTAATATAGTTATACATATTCTAACATAATATCCACTTGATCTTCGCATATATACTTGTTGTTGAACTCGATTCCAGATATTTCTCTTGTATGATCAATATTGAATTTCTTTTCCATGTAATTCTGAAAGAATAATATATATTACTCGTTAGTATTACCCGTTAAACAAATATAATTTTTGTTAACAAACATTCTCAAAGACATTCGAACAGAATGCATTTATATAAATAAATTCTGATAGACACATCTGACCATACAACATCTCAAACGAGGGTCGATCAATACTAGCATGATAATTGTTGTAT